TGCATTGAGTGCACTGTCTGCCAAGCTTTCTGCTGCTTGACCAGCTCGTACCATCCTATCCATTAGACCTTTGGCTTGCAGGGTTAACGGCAGCTGAATGAGAATTCCTGTCTGCTTCCCAAAGTCCTAATGAGTCAGGCTGGCTGGTCTATCATCAGGTGTCCTTTGGAGTATTTCGGGACATGCCCGGCTCCAGAGCTGGACACTACCAAGACCACAACTCAAAGAACTGACTCTTCTGACATTCTGTTGCCAAACATGTTATCTTGGAGCCAATTCAGGTCAAAGGAGACCCCACTCACCTACCCCTGCTAAGGATAGTCACTAGTTAGTCATTTCATATCCAACACGCACATGTTTGATCCCTCACTGGGTTGGAAGGCAGACACCAGGTACTCCCTGCAAGCTTTCGAGTGAGCAGCACATCACAGTATGAAACCTGCGCAAGCATTGTCACTACCTTCCTGCCCACAGCTCAGATACACATCCCTACCCACTGAGTGATGTTTTTTATTAGTTGGAGGTGCGGAGCTTGAACTGCAGCTGCTTACTTCTATGCATAGCAATGAAGGTGAATTCCAAGCTCTGGATATATAAACATGTGCTCACAAACTTGGGACTCTAGGTAATGCCCTCCAGCAGCTGTCATATCAAGCCTGTTTCCTCATCAACTATCTGAAGAGCATATATTTTCAGCATGGTGGGAGGACCATTTTTGTGAATGCTGAAGAAATCAAAGAAATGTTACTGAAAATTTTAAATTGTTGCATTAGAGATGAGTAATTTCATACAATTGCATCACTAATAAATTTTAAATTAAAATTTAAGAAATCAGGTTGTTAAATTGTTCTCAAGCAGTGAAATCCGCTACTGAATGTTGCCTAGGTAGCCATTCTTTTTGTAGCCGGTGTGTGACACATCGCCATACAATCACTGTTTTTGTACAATACTTTTAAATGCGTCAAGGCAACATGTGAGCGTCGGTTCAGGGTTCTGAAAAGCAAGTTTAGGGACAGACACCAATGTGTATTTCTTCAAATCTGCAATATTTTGGTCAGCTGAACATCTGACACATGCGAAAACCGATTATTATCCTTAAGAATATCCAAACCAGACAGAGTTGCACACGCAGGTCGACTACACATTGAAATTTCCATAAATCTGGAATAGAATGTGCACTCTATCCTGGGGGGATGCACCTTGCTTACTTAATTCGAGAGCATTCATCACAGGTTGGCTAATGAAATAAAGTATATCAATTGTTGCTGTTTTGATCTTTCTTAGGAACATTATTTTCTTCCAACAATCTCAGCTCTTGAGCAGGAATTCTCATCCCCTACTATATGCGTCGTTATGTGCCTGCTTTCTGGTATCAGACGGACTCTGATTGAGACAATCAATAATGCTTACATGAATTCTGCATATTACCTCCAATGTATCATGTCTCTTGCAAGGTGAATATCATGGTACGTACCATAAGATTGTTTAGTAAAATAAATACCTTTATTACTAGTCATTTCTTAGCATTTTAACACAAAACAGCATTAAAATAGACACAATATTGATCATTGACAGTCACAATCCTTTCAAATTACAGTTCCACTCCAATATGTTTTGTGGATGTTTCCCAATTCCTTTCTCTTGGGATCTTATAATAATAATCCTTGCATTTGATGTCTTCCTTTTAACAACAACTTAATTAATAATAATCCTTGCATTTGATATAGTGCTTTACATGTCTTCTAGATGTCTCAAAGCGCTTCACAGAATATACTGTAAGGTGAACGGACTATATTTGTGGGCGAAATGCAGCAGCCAATTGCGCACAGCAGTGTCCCACTAACAGACGTGGATTGAAATGACCAATTTATTATTGTTTTTTTGAGGGATTATCATCAGGCGTGTGGAGTAAGGAAACATGCCCAAGGTTTCACCCTGCCGGGAATTTCTTAGGAGCATTATTTTCTTGACAATTAGCGCCCTCCACGCTGGGTAACGTCTCAGCGCGCTTAACAGTGGCGGAGCCTGACTCCGAACCGCGTTGACAGGGGAGGTGGCCGTAAGCACGGTTGAAGAGGAAAGTTTTCAGGCCTAACTTGAAAGAGGTGAGAGAGAGGGCAAGTGGTGGGATTGAGGGAGAGTGTTCCAGAGTTTTGGAGTGCAGAGGCTGAAAGCACAACCTCCGATGGATGGAGGGTGCGAGGGACGAGCAGGAGGCCGGTGCCAGTTGAGCGGAGGCGCCGGGTGGCGGATTGGGGAATGAGGTGACAGAATAAGGAATTTTCCCATGGCTGCATGACACAAAAGATGCTGAAATCCAAGATATGGCTCTATCCATGACTGAAAACTGAAGAAACGNTTTTTTAAGCTTACATTTATAATGCTGAAATGCTTTTTTGACCTTATGGTGATTGCTTTAAAATGAAGAGTTGTGCCAAGTAACAAAGTTGTGACAAATTAAAAGATTGAGAATAGACATGTTTTTCCTGGGGATACAAAATTGAATTTATCAGTAGTTATTTAAAATGAAATTCTGTACTGGAAATTATCCAGACAGGTTTTCCAGACAGAATGTATGATGGACAGGTTCACACCTCTCACTTTACCAAACTAAGCCATGACACTGAAACTTTTTTCATCTATTTCCCATTACCGACATTACCCCACTACCCGTTTCTGATGTTCATCCATTGACTGCTCTCAACAGCGTACCAATCCCCTACTTCTGACGTTGCCACGTTCCACCACTCGACTTTCCCCCCCTACTCACTTGATGCAGCTCTATTCCCTGTTGTCGACATTGTCCCACTGCCCATTCCTGAACATTCCCCTATTGACTGCCCCCTGTTGCACATCATTGCCCCCTCCAGATGTTATCCCATTACTCGGATTCCGACATTCACTTTTTCCACTCCAAATATCCCCCATTCAGACAAAGCCCCAATTCGAGCTCCCAACATCACCTGACTGCCTATTCAGTACTTGCCCCATTTATCTGTTCCCGGTTCCCCTCCCAGTCCCCACTCTGGATGTTCCTTGACTGCCCACTCCCCGACATCGCTCCATTCCCCCACTGTCCATTGTCTGCTACCAACATCATCCCATTTTTCCACTCCCGATGTTCCCCATAGCCTGCCCCCAACGCCAGCTCATTGCCCACTTCTACCCTAGACCCATTTTGCCACATTCCCCAACTCCCAAACTTTTCCATTGGCCCACTCCCAACCTTCCCCCATTCTGTTGATTCCTTGTTCTCACTGTGTCCTCCCATTCCTGCTCTTGACCTTTGGCAAACTCCCAGCTCCTGATATTCCCTCCCAATCTAAGCTCCTGCCATTTTCCAGCTCCTGAGGTTCCCCCACCATCCAATTCCATGATCCTGACATTCACTCCTAGACACTATAACATGTGAAGGCCACTAGATAAGTGTCAGGTTGTTGTTTATAGTTTATCTCGATGGGAATCCTGTAGCTTAGTGGTTAGACCACTTGCCTCGCAAGCGAGAGACCTGGGTTTGATTGGGCAAAATGTTGGGCAAGGTTTACTTACTCTACACGCCTCCGTTTACCTAGCAGTAAGTAGGAACCCGGTTGTTAGTTGATTGGCGGATCACTTTTCCAGGTATAATAATCCTTAAAAAAAACAATAATAATTTGGTCACTCAATCCATGACACTGCTGCGTGCAATTGGCTGCCGCGTTTCACCCACAAATATACAGTCAGTTCATTTACAGCTGCGAAGTGCTTTGAGACGTCTGGAAGAAGTGAAAAGCGCTATATCAAATGCAGGGATTATTATTTCTCTGCAAGACGCAAGTCCAAGGGTTGTATTGACTGCATAGCCTTGAATTAATCCCGTCTTATCTGTAACCGCAAGCGAGACAGGACGGACCTGTGTTTGACTCTCGGGAAGGGCAAGTTTCCCTACTCCACGCGCCTGTAGGAACCCGGTTGTTCGTTGATTGGAGGGTGTAATCATTCCTTAAAAAAAATAGATTGGTCACTCAACCCAGGACTGTTTGTGGGACACCGGCTGCTGCGTTTCACCCACAAAATATTACAGTCAACCTGCTTTTACAGTATACTCTGTGAGGCGCTTTGAGACGTCTCAGAGACATGATAAGGCGCTATATCGAATGCAAGGATTATTATTACGATATGTATTCAAATGTAAAACCACTGGCTAAAGGTGGGTGCAATGTCAGAATTTTTTTTTGCGGGGGGGGGGGTGGGGGGTGAAATGCAACCTTTATTCCGTGAATGTCACGTCACGTCCATACCAGCGAAACACCTGTGTTCCAGGCAGTCGGTCATCTTGTTCGTGCACGTGAGGTGGGAAACTGAGAGGAAAAAGAGAAAAAAACCGGGAGTCTCATGAACCTGGGAAGACGCTGCGGCTCCCGGTCACTTGGCGTCCAGCCACCCGCCAGTTCTCTGTCTGCACCGCCGACTCCTCGCTCTTCCTCCTCGAGATCGCCTCGCGACGGAGAAGCCGTTATTTTTTAAAAAACAACGACCGTCGAGCGAACGAGACAGAGCGCGAGGAAGGGCTGTTGGGGGGGGGGGGGGGGGAGTGAAAGGGGTGCCCAGCCGACCAATGGGAGCCGCGCTCTCCGCGAGACGTCGATCACGAAAGGGTCGGGCGCGTGTTGGTTCCGGAAGGCGACCTATGGCGCCGCGGCGTTTCGGGGGTTAAAAACGAGAGAGCGAGCCCGGCGGCCAATGAGCGCGCGACCGTCTGCGATTCAAACTGGTTCATCCCGTAGCAGGGGCGCGGCGGTGAGAGAACAGAGAGGGGGAGCGAGCGCGTGCGTCGCAACCTAACCTGATAGCACGCTGTGACGTGCCCGGACCTGAGAGGCGGGGCCTGATGCCGTTCCTGAACCATTGGGAAGCCTCGCCCCGCCCATCGCACCGCCCCGAAATACCGAGTGTAACCAATGGCAGGCGGCGGACGTGTGTGATTGACGGGTGGTGGGAAGTTAGGTTGGAGGGTAGGTATAGCGCAAACCAGCGCCCTGTGCAGCTTTGTGTGACTACATTGACCGTTTGTGTTGTGTGAGTTGGTATGTATAATGCTGTACACTTACAGTGAAGGGAACCGAGTGGCGGGCTGTTTTATTTTTAAAAAGACTAAAATGTTCTGTGCTCGTAAATTATAAAAGCCTTCTCGACGCTCTAGATACATTTTTTTTTTAAAATTATTGTCTAGAAATATTATCGTCGTGTTTTTTTTTAAAAAAAAGTAGCTGTAGTGATTTGTATGCCTTGAAAAACAATTTGTTAACCCTCCCCTGCCAAAAACGGGGTGGTTGTTGGTGTTTTTTTTTGAACCGAAAAATATTTCGTTTTTTTTAAAAAAAAACCTTTTAAAAATGCGAAAACGGGTCTGAACGAATGTTTTATTGGATGGAGGGGGAAAAAATACACCAAAAAAACCGACCGTCTACTTATTTTTTTATTAAAAGAAAGCTGTTTTTCTGAGGGGGGGGGGGAACAAAAGATTTCTTGGAAGAGATTTTTTTTTGTGAGGGGGCGGGTGGCTGAATGTGTGGAAGAATTTATGTGGGGGTCATGTGGATTTTTTTTTTCGGGGGGGGGAGGAAGAGGGGGTGTTATGTTTTTTAAAAAAATGATTGTAAGCGGCGAAAATGGAAGATGTTCGGAGTGGGGGGGGAGGTGGAGACTGGAAATAATCGACACGATGCGTTAGTGATTTTATTTTTTTTGTGTGTGGCGGGTGGGCTGTTAAAAAAAGGGGGGCTGCTGAAACTATACATAAAACGGAAAAAGAGGAAAGTTTTCGATGTCTTAATAACATGTTCCGACTCTTCTTCTATTTTTTTTTGGAGGTGCGTTCCTAGCTCTCTCGCTCAAGGAATAACATGAAAAAAAATATAAGTTGCGCGTAGCAATGCACGGGGTGCCCGTACACGCATTTGCCTGCCTTGATTTTCTTTTTTTTTAATTTATAAAAAATATATACCTATACGTCTGTAAACGTATTTTTATAACGCGAGGAAGAAGGGGGGGGGGGGAAGAGAGAGGAAAAAAAAAACCCCGATCGTGTTGAGCGCGAGGTGTCTGCGAGGGGCGGTCGGGCGGGCGGGCGTCTTTAATCCATTCCTGCTGGATCTGGTTCTTGTGTAAAATGGGGGAGGGAGGGAGGGAGGGCTGGAGGAGGTGGGGCGGCGGCGCCACACGCCCGCCCTTTCCCCCTCCTTCCCCCTCCCTCTCCCCCCCCCCTCGTCCATTCACTTTTTTTTTCGTTTTCCATTCTCCTCCCGCACGGTTTGGTCTTTAAACGGAACAAGAGCCTTTTAAAAACGCCGCACATATAACGCACGGCCACCACGCGGGCACGTGTGATTTTTTTTCTCTCTCTCTCTCCTTCTCCTCCTCCTCCTCCTCCTCCCTTTTGTGTGTGTGTTTTTTTTAAAAAAAAGAATTTTATGTCGCGCTTTAAATCCCTCCCAGTGTGTTTCGAACAGGCCACCCCTACAAAAATGCAGTGAATATGCACAAAGAAATTCCGGCATCCATTTTAAATTTGATTTGGATGATTTTTTTTTTAGGGCGTTTTTTCCACACCCGATTCCTCACGCGCGGCCGTTTCTCGATCACATTTCACACGCGAAGCACCTGTGCCGACATGATTATTGTGTGGTGTGTTACTTGCCAGCCTTTGTAACCCTGTCCTTTATTAATAAGTTCCAGATACTCCAGAGCACGCTTTTTTTAATTGCGTTTTTTTTAGAAAAAAGAAAACCTGTTACCAGCCTATTTCTCTTTCCCTGGAAGTGATGCAACATTTCAAATCCCTGAATGTATAGTTTATTAAAAGAAGGAATGGTGAAGTGAAGCGGTTTAGTTTCTGATTAATTCTTGGTGAAGGAGGAGCGATGTCTAGAGGGGCGTGGCTTCCGAACTCGGACAGTAACAGGGACATGGCGTTTACAATCTCAGTCCCTGTTTTATTGCTGCTTTACCACAGCAGGTCTACTGTGTACTTTTTTTTGCAAACAGCATTAACCACATAACCGTTTTGAGTATTTTTTTTAAAAAATGCCATAATGTACTATTTGTTCGAAATAAAATTGACCATTGTCAGTCTATTATTGCATTAAAGTTGGAAAATAAATCGTCCTCATGTTACTGTATATTTCTCATAAGTGGCTACCTGCAAAAATTAAAGGCTCTGGAAATATGGAAGTGCTTCTCATTTGAAGCATTCAGCTAAGTTTTTGGCTTACAATCATAGGAAGACTATGCTTTCCTTGAAGGGCAACATTGCTAGAACGGTAAACAAACAACAAACTGCCCAGATTGAAGGAGTTTAGTTTTGATGAGGGTAGGTATACTTAGGCTGCATTCATTAGAGTTGGGGGGTGATCTAATGGAGATATTTAAAATAATGATCGAATCGACATACTAGAAAGTGAACGACTCGTCCCTTGTGGAGGGATCCAAAAGAAAGAGACGTAATACGAAATTAGATCCTAATTGACCATTTTGATTAGAACGCTTAGAACATGGGTTGTGAGATACCTTGTTCTGGATGCCATAGAGGCAAAATAATTGGGGAGTTTTAAAAGGAAGAGGGGTACATACATGCAGAGCAAGTGCGCCCAGACATCGTCTCAAGTCTCTTGAGACAGCGTGACGGGTGCTATGTAAATGAAAGTTGTTGAAAAGAAAATGGGATTAAAAGATTGCACCAAAACTGGCAGAAGAGGTTGGATATCCTTCCAATATACCTAAATTAAAAATCCGTGTTCATCAAAATGTTCATTGAATCTTAATATAAGTTTTGGTCAACTGAAGAAACCGCAATTTATCATTATTTCCCTGACCTAATTTTTTTGTATAAGCGCAAAAAGGTTGTTTAAATTAATAACTTAAATTTCAAGTTGAGCAATTGCTTGAAATAAGTATGGTTTTATTTTGTATTCTAGATTTAAACTGACAAGAGGATGGGTAAAAGAGATCCTAGACAACCACGGGGCAAGATGTCCTCGTATGCATTCTTCGTGCAAAACTCTCGCGAGGAACACAAGAAGAAACATCCTGACTCTAGTGTTGACTTTTCAGAATTTTCAAAACAATGCTCCGAAAGGTGGAAGGTAGGACTGACTTGAGCTTTTACATAATGGAACTCGGCTTTAAAAAAAATCTGCATATATAATGCATTCCATTGTTTGAATTTCAGGCCATGACTCCAAAAGACAAGGGGAAATTTGAGGATCTGGCAAAGAATGATAAGGTCCGTTATGACCGAGAAATGAGGAACTACAATCCACCCAAAGGTGACAAGAAAAAGAAGAAGGATCCAAATGCCCCAAAGAGGCCACCGTATGTACAGTACTGCAGTTTACATATTAGTTGTGGTTGATAATTCAGTTTGTTAAAGACTTGTAATGGAATTGCTCAAGCATAATCCAAAAGGTAGAGTTTTATTTAGCTATTTGTGTATACTGCCAAGTTTACCTTTTCTCTTGATTTAACAACCTGTTCTTTCTTGCAGGTCTGCATTTTTCATCTTCTGCTCCGACCATCGTCCAAGGATCAGGGGTGAGAACCCTGGAATATCCATCGGTGATGTTGCAAAAAAGATGGGAGAGCTTTGGTCTGGACTAACTGCCAAGGACAAGAAACCATATGAAGAGAGGGGAGCTCAATTAAAGGAGAAATATGAAAAGGTACTAGTGGATTATTTTGGATCATATGAAATCTTGATGCTTTTCAAAGGTACAGTTCAAATTGTTAAATGATTTCTTAACTCAAAAAAATCCTGCACTGAATTTTACAGGTAAAATCTGTTTATGGTTAGCATTATTCCAAATATAATGCAGTTTATTTCTTTGTCATTGATTGCATATCACTTCCCAATGGATAGCTAATCTGTTACTGAGAGGACGATTATTACAGTGCTTAGAGTTGTATTTATTCAAACTGAATTGCCAGAGCTCTCTAGCTGAACTCAGTAAGTATTCTTCCCACTGGTTGGAGGAGTGCCGCGTTGATGGAACTTCAGGAAATACAAGCTTGTCCCACCACTTTCTAAGATTGGCTGATCCGCAACTCAATTCCACTATCTCTCCATGTCACTTGATACCCCGGGCGTATATCTATTTGACTTTTAAATTCTTCAACTGACTTGAATTCTTGCCTACATTCTGGGGAAGTGAATTCTATACTCCCTCATCAGCCGCTGCGTGACCATGTCTCAATTCTAAATAGTTTAACCCTCGAGTTTAAGATGATGGCCTGTAGTCCTCAATCGTCTTGCCAGAGCAAACAGCTGCTCACTATTCAGCCTGTCAAATCCCGTCATAATTTTATATACATTGATCAGATTACTTCTCATTCTTGTAACTACAAACCCTTTTCCGTCCTTTCATTATAATTTAGGCCCATAACACTAAAGGAATCTACAGTCTCCAGGGCCAATACTCCTTCCTGTCTATTTCAAAATCACCAATGACATTCTCTCCATCTGTGACCATGGCTCTGTCTCCTCATCCTTCTACACTTCTCCAGTTTTCAACACTGTCGACCATTCTACATCGCCCTTCCTCTCACCTCTACCTTCACAGTTCTGACCTTGTTTTATTCTTACCTAACCAACATCTCCACTTTGTATTTGTCCACAACTTTTCCCGTGTATAGGAGAAATGCATTGGTTCAGAAGCATGGTAATGGTTAAAAGCACCTGTCAGACAGGCTGACAAAAAAAATCCACGTGTGTGGATGACACCCAGCTCTTTCTGCCTCTACCCTCAATTCCAGGACCACTGCAGTCCTGAACTGGCCATTGAGATCCTTATCTGTCCTTTTATTACATCCAGGCTGTGTCCAACCATCTACTCACCGGACTTCCCAATTCTTCCCTCCACAAGCTACAAGCCATTCAGCACACTGCAGCTCGTGTCATCTCCCACACAAGGGGAGAGGCAATGTTGTGGACGTGGGGTAAAATTGAATGGGTCAAGGGAGGGATGTGGGATTTAAGACCGTAGAGATTTAAGACACCAAGGTTCCCCACTATCTCCATAGGGTGAAGTGTGTGCCTTGGGATGTCCTCCCAACGTGAAAGGCGCCATGTAAATGTAATTTGTTGTCCATGTAGATTGATGCTGTCAGTGTCTGAGGCGAGAAGGTTCTGATAGGAGCCTCTGTCTTTTTGACATCCCTGGGTCTTGCCCCTCCTTACCTGTGCGACCTCAAACCCTGCCAATCCGCCTTCTCCCTCTGTTTAGGAGACACTTGCTTACTTCACGTCTCCCTCCCTGCATGCCCCACTGTTTGCGGTCAAGCTTTCAGTCTTCCCAATTTTCTGGAACTCTTATTCCTTCACCTCTTCCATCGCATCCTTCAAGGTGCGCCTAACAACCTGCCTCTTTCACTGCACCTTAGGTCATCTTCTCGTCATCACCCCTCCAGAATCCAACCTTCAGCTCAGGTGCAAACTCGACTGTCCCAACGCCTTGGGATGACCTCCTGATGTGAAAGTTGCTATATAAATGCAATTTTGTTCTTGTGGGGGTTAAAGGGAAAAAATTGTAGATATCGTGTTTTCAGGTCTTAACTCAAAACAACTTGCAGTTATAAAATGCCTTTCACGCAGGAAAGCGCCTCGTGAATGACAGCAATGTCACTCACTGGTATCTAAGTGACATTGATGAGATCGGGACTTGTTTGGCAGGATGTTGCTATGCCAAAATATTTCATTTTAAGCTGCTTGAGTACTTGGATCAGTTTGGGGAAAAAAGTGCTGGTTGGGCATGAGTCGGTCCAGTTGCTTTTGTGTGTTTTTTCATATTGTAGATGAACAGAGATCGAGGTCATTTTTGTAAGAAAGAAACTGCTTTATGTGGATGCTGAAGTTAGTAAACCTTTAACGTGCGATTACAATTTAACTTTTTAGGAAGTGGCAGCATATCGTGCTAGGTGCAAGAATGAAACTTGTAAGAAACCTCCTCCTAAGCAAGTTCAGGTCGCCAAAAAGAGGAAGCAGGACGACGACGATGATGACGATGATGATGATGAAGAGGAGGAGGATGAAGAAGAAGAAGAGGAAGATGATGACGATGAGGAATAAGTATCTGCAGATGTAAAAAGATGTTTGTCTAAGCTTGATCTATTTTTTTGCAAAGACCAGAAATGTGAACTCATCTGTAGCTTGGATCAATCGCTTAGGTGTAAAGAAACTGTACAAAACTGTGTATAGTTAGTGTTGTATTTTTACACTGTGCAGCCAGGCTTTGTACTGTTTTAATTGTAAGTAGCTGGTTTTTTTTTAAAGGCACTGCCTTTCGAGAAGAGAGGGACTTCTGAGTGGTGGAATGTTATTGCCTATTTAATGTTTTGTGTGAATTTTCAATGACAAACGTAGCTGTTTATTGTAGCATAGTTTTTTTGTCATGGAGTTGATACCAGTTTTTGCAGATTTTTTTGTAGAGCTTCTGTCATGAGCTCATTACACGTGATGGCTAACTTTTTGTAGTTAGATCATGATATGAAAACACTTTTTTAATAATAAAACAATTAAAATGGTGGAACATTTTTGTTGTATGTACTTATTTGGTAGTTAGGATCCTGAAATACTGCTATGTTGCAGTAGTATGGTCGTCCATACCTTTCTTCAAATACTACCTCTTCGTCCACATGTATGGTCACCTCCCTTGCTTGGCGTCCAGCAATGCCAATCTCAAGTGCTCCAAGATGTTATCTTATCAGCAGATCCAAGAAGGAATTAATGGAAGACCTAATCTAGTTATTTGTTGAAGAAAATAAATTAACTTGAGTACAAATTATGATTTTTATATGCAAAGAATATGATTTAAAATTTCTGTCTTGCATTTTAGCTTTGAAGAGGTTTAAGTTGGATTTTACTACACTTGACACTATTCACTTTACCTCAGTTTACACTTCAATTGACTACACCATGGCAACTGCTTAAGGCCAGTAGCGGATTCAAATTTTTGCAATGAGTGCCTGGCAATAGACAGACATGGCCAAGTCTTATTGCCTTCCATTGTTGCATGACTGCTGTGTATAGACGGTTCTCTAACCTAGCCCAGGGATCAATTGTGAAGGAATTGCTAGTTGTCAAATGCCCAAATTTGATTTTTTTTTACTTGTATCAATACACAAGACTAAAGGATCTTAACTCCTATCTCCAGGGAGGACAGAATCGAGCATAAATAGGCTTGGACCTTATAGAGCTGTACATTTTTAAACAGGATTTAAAAAAGACTAAACGCAGATAAATACTTTAGGATGTCTCAAGATGGAAGAAGAGATGTAGGTTTAGAGTTTTGAAGAGTAATTTCAGAACCAGTACCAGAAATTTTTATTTTATGCAAGGGGTGATCAACAACTCGGAACAGGTTGTCAGGAAAGGTGATAAGAGGCCAGGACACTGGACTTGTTTTGAAAAGTGGTTTGATGCAGTGATGGGGAAATGGTGTACTGAGTTAGGTGTACTGAGATTGGATAGGCCGAAGGACTTTCTTCATCCAGACCTACTTGTGACCTTGTGAAACATTTAGAAGAATGCCATCTGTCAAACTTGAATATTGCTGTCTTTTTTTTTGGTGGGGGGGAGAGGAATGTCAGGTTCCACAAAACTTCCTAGCATTGATCATGTAAAGAGCTGAGTTTCAGGTTAGTCTGCTGGGCCATTATTAATAATACTTACATTTGATACAGTGATACATCTCTAAAAGTGCTTCAAGGAATATACTATAAAGGGAACTGACTATTTTGTGGGCAAAACTAGGATAGTGATAATACTAATTGTATTTTTAACGGATTATAGCCAAACTGGTAAGCATTTTTTTGCAGATGCTCTTTAACCTCTTTTAACCTGCTGTGGATTTCCAGCATTCAGATTTATTTCAGACAGTCATTTTTTTCCCAAAGTGGAACCCCTTTTTCCACAGAATGAACAGCATTAATTAATACCAGTACCATTGAGGTTTCTGGTGTCCAGATAACTGTATCATCTCTCGCATCACGTATCAGGAACTCCTGTACTGCAGTCACCATCTTGAACTGTGTGTCATTCTCTGATTAGGTCACTGGTGACTGATACACAGTGCAATAGGCATTGGTTAAGGACCTGAGGAGGACATTAAGAAAGACTTGTTTATTTGAATTAACTAACTATTGGGACTGCCAGAATATCATCAAGTTGGCTCAGTGGTTGGACTCTCTCCTGAGTCACAGTGTTGCAGGTTCACTCCCCATATCAGGACTTGGAATCAATCTCAGATGACAATGCAGTGCTGAGGGGGTGTTGATTTTGGGATGAGATGTTAAACCGAGGTCCCATCTGCCCATTCAGGTGGATGTTAAAGATCCCATGGCACTACTCCAAAAGAAGGGAGGGGGGTTTCTCCCAGTGTCCTGGCCAACAAACCCCAAATAAAATTGGTCACATGCCATGGCGGTTTGTGGAACACTGCTGTGCACAATCGGCTACTGCGTTTCACCCCAAAATGCACAGTCCATCTACAATACAGTATATCCTGTGAAGCGCTTTGAGACATCTCGACAACGTGATAAGGTGCTATATCAAACGCTATTATAATAGTGAAAGTTGCTGAGGTCAGACTGCCAGTATGATGGCACAGGATTTGTGAAAATGTTTACCTCAAAATGATTCACAGGAGTTTGAGAAGACAATCTTTTCTATACAGCTCCAGCTCTTTATTTGAGGTAAAATATCAAATTTGATTTTGTTTCATATTGTTGGTGCACCAATCAGAAATGTGATCACGTATGTTTTAGTTAATTGTATTCTGCTTTATAATAACTAACAAAACAAGAGATAGTTTACCTTGCATTTTGAGAACTAAAGCACAATTCTTAATTCCCAAATTTTATTCCATTAAAATACCCCCAAATTGTACAATTTGTACAGAAATTGATATTTGTGAAAATCTGTATTTACAATAAATCAACAGTTTGCTTAACTGACAAAAATAGGAAAGTAAAACATATTCAATCACAAACGAAGTATGTTGACAGATAATTTTGAGCCCCCTATCCAGTCATTTACAAATAGCAGCTGGTGAAGCACAGTATGAACATTAGAGCTTCTGGGTGGAAGTTCATGGCAATACAAATCAACATGATAGTGGTTGAGATACCTTTATTAAAAAAACATAACTTATTTTCCCTGCAATCAATTGCTGCATTCAACTATTAAGTTAAATACCTTTATCCCTACGAACTTTCAAGTACATAATAGAAAAATATTTTTCAATAAGGCACAGATTTAATCAAGATCAGCTAATTTCCCATGTTCCTTTGTCTAACAAGTATTGGGAACACTTGATAATTTGAAGTTTGTTCACAGTCTTTAGGGTTAAACAAATGTTGCACTCATTAACTAGTATCAGTTAATTTAGTTAATTACTGCAATAAAGTCGGGTGGTTATAAAGCAGCGTAAAGCTTTCAGGTGTTCACTATATAACAGCAAAGCACGTAGATTTGAAACATTTTTGTGGCATATCATTTAAGGAAGATAATAGTAGAAATGTTGATCAGATTCAGAGTTCAATAAATCAGGTTAGGGCTGGAACAGAATGATGCACAATGCTGGAAAGCTACAGGTGGGACTCAACAAAAACATCCTCAGAGCTAGAAGATTCTGATTCATTAGAACCTATTAAATGAATTTGATTCATAACATTAAAACAGCTCAAACCACTGTAAGCAACATTACTTTGAAGCACAGTGATTGTTATGCAGGCAAACACACCAGCAATACCTCAGAAATAAATTCATAAATGAAATTGGATGGGAGAGAAACATTGGCCAGAACTCCCGAATCTTTGAAATAGTGCAAAACCATGAGATCTGACATCCACTTAAACACACGTTGGTTTAACATCTCACCTGTAGGTTTCTGTGTCTGAACGTGTAAAAATAGGAAAAACAATGGAAAAAATATCACTGAAACTATTTTGTGGCTGTTACAAAGAATATACAAATTACAACCAAAGTTCAATATCCAGCGCTCATCCAGTCGGGAAAGTAGATAATCCTGAAAAAATCATACCTAACTGAAACAAACCTATTAAGAAAAAGCTACCATTTTTTAGCGCCCCTGAGTGTAATCCCAAAAGAGTAGAGTTGTATCTTACTACTAAGATACAACACATCTTAAGATGACTGAAGAATAAGTTGTAAACATCTAAGAATTTTTAAGGTAACAAACTTTTATAATTGCATGGTTGACTAGAATGTTACATTATCACAGTTTACTTAGATCCTTCAAAAGGAAAAGGGTGTCAAAAATATTTACATTCTTTGAGCTGTACATAATTTGTTTGCAGCAATATACAGATTATTTTTGATCTTGTACATATAGGACATGGTTCTATACTGCTAAAATGTTATTCATCTCCCATTTTTGTGTTGTTTTTGCAGAGTCACAGTCAGCTATGAAGACCTGGTGAAGAACTTCAGAGCGGTCCAAGCACTTGCCAGTAGAAATGTGCGTGAATCTGTTCATGGCCTGAAAGAAAAAGTGCAGAAATTTTTAAAAACTCAATCTAAGTCAGATTGAGTAATAATAATCATATTATTATTAGAGTAATAATAATAATCCTTGCATCACATCATTGAGGCTTCTCAAAGCGCTTCATAGAATATACTGGAAAGTGAATTGACTGTATATTTTGTGGGCGAAATTGAATAAACAAATCAGCTTCAGGCCAGTATTTGAAAAAGGTCTGTTGCAGGTAGCAATTAATATATACAGTGCAACAACAACAAATGACATTTGTATAGTGCCTTTCACATCAGGAGGACAGCCCAAGGCGCCGTACAGTCATTATAATGTGTCTTGTTAGTGCACAAGTCCACTTTAATTGTGCTACACCTCTAGATTCCACCATTGACATTCTGGCTTCCTGCTTACATTCAAAGGAAGGAAGTCTGTTCACGCAGGAATGTGGCTAGTTTACACTGAAAGTTGGAAATATCAGTAGGGACCTGGAAGCGGGACTGGTGGTCATTTTCTTTTCATTAACCAGTTATAATGCAATTTAATTTTATGGACCCAAAACACTGTGTTACGACAGGATTGTCCTGCAGATGTAACCTCAATTGCAAGTCAATTAAACGCAAACTCAATGAAAGAAAATAAAATGTGAATTTCTTTTTTGTACCCCTAATCATCCAGATTATGCATTTTCATACTAGTCATGCATTTTCAGAATTTCAAAAACAAATTGCATTTATATAACGCCCTTCACTCAGGAGGATATCACAAGGTTCTGGACAGTGAGAGTTTGCACACAAACTGGGGGTGGAGGTGTGGTGGGGTTGGGAAGATGACTGAAAGTGTGCTCAAAGAGGAAGGTTTTGAGACGACCTTCAAGAAGGTGAGGGATGGAGTTCCAGAAAGTGGGATCAGAAAGCTCGTGATGGTGGGACAGGTAGGGGGGAAACGGAACAGGTCAGTTCCTAACAAGCAGGGGGAGCGGGCAGGTTGGTAAGGTTTCAGAAGGTCATAGAAGTAGGATGGGGCAAGACCATGAAGAGATTTAAAAATGAGGATGAGGTTCTTGAACTCGATCCTCTGGGGCTGAGGAGCAATTAAAGCCGGGCAAGAATGGGGATGATAGGCTTTCAGAGCCTGGTGAGGGAGAAGACAAAAGCTGCAGAGTTCTGAATAATCTGCAGCTTGTGGTAGGAAATGTTGGGAAGTCCTGCAAGCAGAGTGTTGGCATAGTCAAGCCTGGGTGTGATAAAAACATGGATAAGGTCTCAAAATTTCAGTGCATATTAACAGCAAAAACAGTATTCAACAGTAATTTACCTTGAAGTATTGCCATTCTTTATATACATTCATGTTACAATGTGCAATCATAACTTTTGATCCATCAGGTCCTTTCAATAGACACTGATCGTACTGCATCAATTGATTAGCTTCATTAATTCGAAACAGCTGAAAAAATAATATATATACATATTAAACATTTAATTCATTTGGAGGGTTATTTTACACACTATACCACTTTGACTAACACTACCAAACCACTGCTTAATTTACAAATATTTCCATTGGTTATGGAAATTTTCTAAGCCTTAAAAATCTAAAAAAGCCAAGAACAGTAACCCTGTTTATTGTTTATGAGTGATCAACAGCTACTCCCTTACAGCCTAGACACTAGAGGAGACCAACACCTCAATGTGGAGGTGAATGAAACTGTGACAGTAGAGCATCCCCCAAAAACTGAGGCCCCAAATCCTAGCTGGTCTTACATCTTAAGACAATGTCTTAAGGTTGGAGCTATTTCAGTCCACAGGCATCCACAGAACAAGTTGCAAAGATTAAAACCATGTACTAGTACTAGATATTGGGGATGCCACAAGCCACTCTGTAAGATTTGGTTATATACTCTGATGGAGTGAGAATGGTTGAGAAACAAATGTTGCATAGTTTATTTGATTATATGAAAGATAAATAAACTGATAATGTGAAGTCAAGGCCTCTGGGTTTTATTTAACTACTTGAACAAATGACTAAAACAGATTTGCTGAGAAGGTACAGGTTCTAAGTTTGCTGGAGAAAAGGATTCTGCACACAACAACTTTCCTTTTTGAGGTGCTGATGATATTCCAATTTATATTGTAATCAATAATCAATGAAAATAATCTTCAATTGTTTGGAAGCATACCTTGTGTCAATTTAATATTAAAAGATTTAATATTAATAGTACTGTACTGCTTTGTAACTATTTGGGTGTCAGTACAGAAGCCCTCTCGCCTCCGAATCAGAAGGATTGGGACATTTGAGCTCATAATCTATGCTGATGCTCCAAAGCAAGGAGAGAGAGGTTGGAGGTGCCATTATTTGGATGAGAGATTAAAATTGGGGTTTCATCTGTTTGTCTGTTGAACATCCTGTGGCACTTTTCAAGAAGAGAAGGGAGTTTCTCCCAGTGTCCTGGCCAACAATCCCTCAGATAACATTGGCTTCATGGCTGTTTATAATAATTCTTGCATTTGATATAGCGTTTTTCACGTCTTCTCGACGGCTCAAAGCGCTTCACAGAATAGACTTTGTGGGCTGTTTGTGGGATACTGCTGTGCAAAAATTGGCTGCCTTGAGAAGCTACAAATACACAAGCACTACCTTTTATAGTAAAATCATCTGAAGCTCTTTGAGAGGTCTCGATAACGTAATAAGGCACCAAACCAAAAGCAAGGATTATTTATTGTATTATTAGCCACTTTATATTTTAATAGGTTCCTCAAACTTCTGGGTACTCCCATGTGAAAGGCACTATAAAAATGTAATTTGCTGTTGTTGTGGTCTTTAGTATAATCATAATCCAAATGCTGTCTTTATCCTTTAGGCCATCCAAAGAGCTACCAACTTTCACTTTTGAAGAATAGGAAGAAAATAATATTTATTTCATTTGAATGGAAGACCCAACTGACAGTGAGAAAGAATAATTGGCGATTGGTATTCAAAGGGAAGAAATAATTTTCTTTGTTTTGAATTTGATGTCAATTCAGTGACTAATCAAGAAAAGAGGGAGTTTAATCCTGCGTCTGTACCTGTGCATCTGACCTGGGTATGAAAGGTGTGGACTCTTGTGTCATAAATAAAATTTCATTCTCCAGCAATAACATCTCCCAAATTAAACTCAAAATTAAAAATAATTGATTTGTTTTATAACATGTTACTGAAACACTTGCGCTTAGAAAGTATAACAACGTTACCTGGTTTCCTCCCATTCTGTGGCAAGGTCCCAGCTCAACAAATCCACCATTGGTATGGCCCATACTGTCTATGCAGTAATCAGATTCGAAACCTCTGATCTGAAATGCAAGGAAAATAAATTATAAATTTGTAAACATTACACCAATAAATGCACTATTTGAAGAGAATACTGCATTTCACAATAAAGCCCTCAAATAGATTCATAGAATCTTACAGCACAGAAGGAGGCCATTTGACTCATCGTGTCTGTGCTGGCTCTTTGAAAGATCTATCCAACGAGTCCCATTACCCCGTTCTTATCCCATACCCCTGCAAAGTTTTCCTCTTTAAGTACGTATCTAATTCCATTTTGAAAGCTACTATCTAATCTGCTCTTACCACCCTTTCAGGCAGTGCATTCCAGACCGTAACAATTCTTTGGGTAAAACAATTTCTCCTCGTCTCCCTTCTGATTCTTTTGCCAATTATCTTGAACCAATGTCCCCTGGTTACTGACCCACCCGCCAGAGGAAACAGTTTCTCCCTCCATACTCAATCAAAACCCCTCATAATTTCTCTGCTCTAATGAGAATAATCCCAGCCTTTCTAGTCTTTCTACATAATTGAAGTCTCTCATCCTTGGTATCATTCTTGTAAATCTCCCTTGCACCCTCTCCAAAGCCTTGACATTATTCAAAATCTAGTGCCCAGAATTGGACACAATACTCCAGCAGAGGCCTAACGTGTGATTTGTAAAGGTTCAACATAACTTCCTTACTTTTATACTCTGTGCCTCTACTTATAAAGCCAAGGTTCCTATATGCTTTTTTTAACAGCCTTGTCAACTTGTCCTGCACCTTCAAGGATGTGCATGCGTATGTGAATCCCCAGATCTCTCAGTTCCTGCCCCCCTTTAAAATTGTACCATTTATCTTATATTACCTCTGCTCACTCCCCCCCCCCCAAAAAATGCATCACTTCACATTTCTCTGCATTAAATTCTATCTGCCATGTGTCTGCCTGTTTCACCAGCCTGTCTACGTCCTCCAGCAGACTGCTACAATCCTCCTCATTGTTTACTACGTTTCCAAGTTTTGTGTCATCTGCAAACTTTAACATTTTGCTCTCTGTACAACAACAACAATTTATATTTTTATAGCGCCTTTCGCGTCAGGAGGATGTCCCAAGGTGCTGGACAGTCAGCGATCTGCACCTGAGCTAGTGGTTGGGATCAGGAGGGGTGGAGGGCAGGGAGCATAGAGGTAGGAGGGTGACCGAAGGCAGGATCAAAGAGAAGGGTCTTGAGGAGGCAACTGGAGCGCGGGGGGAGGGAGGGGCGCGGTGAAGGAACTGTGGGATGGAGTTCCAGAGGGTGGGGGCAGAAAGGCCGAAGATCCGCCCACCAATGGTGGGATGGGCAAAGTGGGGGACGAGAAGATGGCTGGAGCCTGCTGAGTGGAGGGAGCGGGCAGGTTGGTAGGGATTTAAGAGGTCATGGAGGTAGGCAGGAGCAAGGCCGTGGAGGGCTTTGAAGGTGAGGACCAGGATCCTTTGAGTGATGGGAAGCCAGTGAGCTGGGCGAGGATGGGAATGATAGGGTCGCGGAGCCTGGTGCAGGAGAGGACACGAGCTGCAGAGTTCTGGTTGATCTGCAACCTATGAAGGGAGAAGTCAATGTCATTAATATATATTTAAAAAAGCATTGGTCCTAATACTGACCTCTCGAGGACACCAATGTATACTTGCCTTCAGTCTGAAAAACAAACGTTCACCACTACTCTCTGATTTCTGTTTCCCAGCCAATTTTGGATCCATGCTGCCACTGTTCCTTTCATCCCATGGGCTACACTTTTGCTAACTAGTCTATTATATGGCACTTCTTCAAATGCCTTTTGAAAGTACATATCGACAACATCAACTGCTCTACCTTCATTAACCCTCTCCATTACTTCATCGAAGAACTCAATCAAAATGATGGCCTTTTCTCAATCATCACGTTCCTATATTGTATTTTAAAATAAGCAAAAAACAATCTCCAATAAATTGCCACTATTATTTGTTTACAAAGCTGGGTGGGTGCTACACCATGCTTTTCTTTGAACAAAAAATTAGCCTAACACACAGTGCCTACACTTTACAAAAGAACTGAGAAATTTCAATGTGTTGAGGTGATATATCAAATGCAAGGATTATTATTATTTTTAAAACAAAAATTGAGAGATCACATGAGAACAAATACATTTCTAGCATAAATTCATGCACTCAAGTAACACTATCAAAATTCTGAACACTGATCAACATATGTTCCCCAGATTTGAAAAAAATCAAATAACTTGGATAAGGAAAACAACTTATTGCATTTGTTTCCTTCATTCCCAATTTTGAATAAAGCTCATGAAAATCCTGGACAGAGAGCTAAGCACCATGGATAAGAGGTACAGTGGCGTTTAATTACAAGAAACAATAGTAGTAAGTTGATTTCCTGGCGTTTATGCTGTTTTAGTATTTAACTGGCATTACAGGTTCAACCAGAATTCAACTCCACTGTGCTTTGCAAGAGTGCAAATTCTATCTCAATGCCGGTATCACACATAATCAACTAGGAGATCTGCAGTTTGTACAATTTTTGCACTGTTTGAATCAGTTTGTTTAAGCTTCAGTGAACTTTTACTCTGTGATAAAAGGTTTAAGTAATATTGCTTCAAAATTACTGACAAAGTGACAAATCCATTATTCCTTCTACCTTGAATATCACTATTCAACATTTACCTCTCCCCATTCCATATTTTTAGGTGGCAATGGATAATGATCTGGAATATCATAAGCTATTTCTTCCATGAACCATTTAAAACTCTTGCAGTTGTGCTCTTCGCGAAACTTTTTCAGCTCAGATATATCTCCATAAGCCAGGGCCTTTGTTTCTGGACGACTTGCATAGAAATAGTCTTTGTAATCATCCCACCACACTTCTACAACACGGACATAATTCTGTAAAGAATAATTGAAATTCTTCATTAATATAAGCAGAGAACATTTGAACAACTGCATAACCTGAATGTGAAGCAAATAAAGTAAAGTAATTCAGCTTAAAAACTGCTCAGGTTACAGAAATGAAAGCCACATGATAGAAAAAATCACAATCTATTAAAAATGTAAATGTAATCACATAAGAGGAAGAAAGAGCAGAACAGAGACTGGAAGAGTACAAGAGTGATTATAATTGAAAGAACATGTGAGCTAGTCACATTATATTCAATGTTCATGTGGTTGAGCCAATAATCTCTTTCAGACCCACAGATTGTAGAATGAAGGACTGGAATTTCCTTAGCAAGAAAAATTGCAACATAAATTTAAGTTGAAGGTTGGAGTGAAAGCTACCCCATCATGAGGCACGCTAAATCAGTAGTTTACTGTTGCATCCAAAAATGATTTACCCCCTTTATAATGAACTCCTCATTCAAGGTCAAAAATGTGGCTGAGTTTTCCACAAGATGTCTGACAGAACAATGATCCAGAGTTTGTTTCACTTAATCCAACAACATTACATTTGGGAGGACGTCCCAAGGCTCTGAACAACTAGTGTTTCAGACCCGAGCTGGGGGTCGGGATTGGAGAGGGTGGTGGGCAGAAGGGGAAGGAGGGTGACCGAAGGCATGGTCGAAGGGGAGGGTCTTGAAGGAGGCAAGGGAGAGTGTGAACCCGAGGGACTGTGGGATGGAATTCTCCAGTGTCAGATGATGCAAAGAAGGATATCTAGGAGATCATGCTAACAAGTTAATCTAAAAAGACTCCACACAGCCTCATATTAAGAACTACTAAGATATCTTCTTGTGGCTCTCGAGCAGATAAGGGCTAAAACCTGCCTCAGGGCATTAGAACCCTGTGGTATTCCAATGCAGGCTGTCTAAAGTTACTGGAAACTGGGTACCAGAAAGTGCCTGCGAGGTTCCTGGTGGTCAACACAGCTTAGAATGAAATGTGTGAGAGCATTGTCACCATCTTCCTGTCTGCAGGTTGGATACACATATCATTGAGTGATGGTTCCACCAATTCGAGGTGCAGAGGCTTAAGCAGCAGCTGATTACCTCTCTGTGGGACAAGCAAGGTGGATTCCAGGCGCTCAATAAACAAACGTGTTCATGAACTTGGATGCTAGGTGGCGCTTTCCAGCAGGTGTTGCCCCAAGCCTCAGTTTCCTCGTAGGTTATCTGGCGGGCATCTGCCTTCAGCATGTGGGAGGACCTTTACAGGACAGCTTGTGACAGGCTAGCCACCTTGATGTTCTTGAGGTCCAAATCCAATACCAGACATAACAGGTTTACTCAGCACCAATTGTTTAATCCAGGTCCTCATGTGAGGGGCCTTGGCAAATAGACGTACCCACTGTGAAGCTGCCTCCGCCTCCAGGGCGATTAGCAACAGGTCAGTGCAGATTGCTGTACATGCAAGGATTAGTATTATTTATTCATTAAGCCAACTGAAGCTCTGTGCAATATGAAGAACCAGCAATGTACAGCATTGTTCCTTTGTATTTCTTGGGGGATCAAAGTGCCACGTACTCTCACTGGGAGAATCGGACCCTTCTAGCTATTGTATGAAACCGCTCTTATTCTCTATCTTGCTCTGGGATAGAGCTTTGGGACGACGCCCAGCGTGGAGGGCGCTATATAAATGCAAGTTGTTGTATCTACAATTCAGCATTCTTCCCATGGCACACACAGCTCTTATGGCAATGGGATTGACATACTTCTATCAAAAGTTGAAGAGAACATTCAGGTAATACTCCCTTTGATTTATCTTCCACCTTCTGCAATTTTCTTCCAATTCATCTCCTCTTGGGGAAGCAATTGAGTTTACTTGGTGTTTCCCACATTAATATGGATGGAATTAGGAATTCAATGGAATGGAGCCAGTGAAACTTGTGTCACATGTGGTGTTTGCTATAAGTTCCTTTATACACACATTTAAGAATTGGCACAGCATCAGAACTGGCAATCACCTTTTCTATCATCGATATAAGGTACCCCAATACAACATCTCTCATAAAGAGAGCATAAATATTACAATGCTTGTTATATTGTACAGAGAATTCGAATGTTAACATATCTTATGTTATTTATCGGTCATATCTTAAATAAAACTCCAAATGTAAATATAGGGATAATAATAATGTTGTGTGCTTAAATAGATACAGACCTTCAACGTTGGGGATGAGCCAATGTGAGCAGGTGGTGGGTTTCCGCCCCACCCATGCAAACGATATATGTGACCAACACGAGAGCAAGGCACAAACAACAGTTTCCCTCCACATTGCCAAATCTACACAGACAGGAAACAAAACACAGCAATTTTTATTGAAGCTTAAAATTGTTTATTTTTGTAAACAATTATAAAACTCCAATGCAGATTTTAAAGGATTAACTTTTGATAAGTTTCTTAATAAATTTATCCTGAAAAATAATTAATTCTGTTATAATATACACATCTAAGACAAACCAACCTAACTCCTAATCTTCATAATGTCCTGAACTGTTAGCTATTGGGTAAAAAGAAAAATCAAATCAGGAGCCACAAAGAGGGGCTGAATATGAATCTTCGTAGTTAAGGGAACTCACTTTGCCACCGCTTTGCTATCTTCCCTTCTCCAATGTACACTGTTCTGTACTTATAAAAGTTTACCATCCATAATCTGAACCAGTGTCAAACTTGGAAGAATCATCTAGAGCAGGATGGTCCAACCTTTTGGCTGCCGAGAGGCGGATTCTCTATTTGAGAAAGTCAGCGGAGCCCATAAGCAATATTTTGTGTTTCCCTTCCAGAAATATAACAACATTTACACAGCTCCTCTTTCATGTTGGAAGGACATCTCAAACCTTCAACACTGTCAGCTGGCACCTGAGCTGGATGTGGGAGTCAAGAGAGTGGGATGGTGAGTGGAAAAGATGACCAAAAACTTGGTCAAAGAGTTAGTTCTTGACTGCCTTGAAAGAGGGGAGGAAGTCAGAAGGATTCCAGGAATGGAACTTCAGAGAGTGAGGGCAAAATGGCGATGGTGGGGCAGATTGGGTGGGGGGGGGACATGAAACAAGCTGGTGTTTGCTGGGCTATGGGAATGGCCAGTTTGGGAGGTTGTATAGGTGTAGGGGGTTGGAATGAAGGATATAGAGAAGTTTTTCACTGGGGAAAGAGGGAGCTTTCTGTGAGGAAACTGCACGGCACTCGATGTCTGTCCTCGGCTCCCCCCCCTGCGGCAGCCGAGGGAAGCTACGATCGTCTGTCCTGACAGTGAGCCATAAAACACTGCCCTCAATTCTCCTTTCTTTCTGCTCTCTCACACTTTTTGTTTCTCTCTCTCCTTCTCTCATGCTCTCTCTCTCAATCACTCTCCCCTCTTTCTTGGAATCACTCTCTCTCTACCCCACAACTCTCATGCACTCCCTTGCACACATTCTCACTCCCTCTCACATCCTCTCTCCTGTCACTCTCTTCCCTCTCACACGCTCATTCTCTCTCTGCTCTCTCCCCACATCTCTGTCAATCACTCTCTCTCCCTCTCTCTAACACAGTATCTCTGTCATTTCCTCTTTCTCTCTCCTCTCTCTTATTCAATCACTCTCTCCCCCTCCCCCAGATTCCACCCCCTCCTCTCAACCCCTCTCTCTCCTAATCAGCTGCATGGGGCTCTATCTGCAGTGGCAGGAGCTAGCTGTTGCTAAGGACGCGGTTGGTAAGAGACGTGCTTGCCTTCCTGACAGACGGCAGCAATGGCCAGCATTATATTGACTCTCCACACTGTGTCCTCCCAACCACCTGCCACTGCCATGAGAGAACATTCACTGGGGATGGAGGGAGCGGAAATTGGAATGTTGGAAATGGTGTCAGGACGGATAAAATGACCTGCCGGGCCAGAGGCGGCCAATGGGCCAACAATTGGACCACGATGATCGAGAGCAACCATTGTCAACCTCAGAATGGGAGAAGGTGTGGGATACCCCATTTGTCCACTATATGCTAAAGCTACTTCATGGAGTATATTAAACACCCCATGACCCCAAGAGGTGGCCTTTGCTTGACAACCCATCTTGGAGAAGCAGGGATCGTTTCACAACATTGTTGGACATTTCTTAAAATCTACAGCTTCTGGGACTCAATCCTTAGCACTGCATAAAGATAAAAGTAAAGTCTACCTTACATTCACAGCTAGGAAAAAAAACTGGCTCAGAAAGCAGTCCTGGTTGCCAGAAAATGTATCCCATGGCAGTGGAATCATACTCCACCATCCAAAGGATGGCACCCCTGACAATGCAACACATCCCCAAACACTGCATTTGAATGTCAGCTTGGACGATGTGAGTTCAAGTCTCGACGTGGGATTTGAACCCACAACCTTCTAACCCAAAGACGAGAGTGCTACCATTGAGCCAAGCTGATAGACGAACTTTAGACTATTCTCTAACAAGTCCTCCAACTTCTTTTTGGAAGTATTGGCAACTTCTTTTTAATGCACATTACCTTGTAGGATATTTCAAAGTTTTCACCTCCCCAGATCTGAAGACCAGGATCATACAGCCCCAGTTCAAAAAAGAAATCTCTTTCAATAGCAAACAACCCCCCAGCCATGGCAGGGGATCTGTGAAGGTCATTGTTAAAAGAATACACAACAAATTAGTAATTTCAATGAAAACAAATGATACAATTCTTGTATTTTTACTGTTAGATATCTTCTTAACTATCCTGAGTTTCAAAAGCAAAATCTAAATATATAACAATTTAAATCTGCAGCAGTGCACTCTTCCAAGAAGCAAATTTCTGGTCAATCTCCTAAATCAAGAAGTAATCAAACACCAATATAGAATCATAGAATATTACAGCACAGAAGGAGGCCATTGGCCCATTGTACCTGTGCCAGCTCTTTGGAAGAGCTCCCCAATCAGTCCCACTCCCCTGTTGTTTCCCATATCCTTGCAAACATATAGATCCTTTAAAAAGTTTAATAATCCTTGCATTTAATACAGCCCTTTATCAATCATCGAGACATCATAAAGGGCTTCACAGGAATTTACTGTGACTGCATGTGTAGGCAAATGCAGCAGCCAAGGTGCACACAGCAACATCTCACAAACAGCCATGAAGAAAATAGCCAATTCTGATTGGGGGGTTGTTGGCTAGGATACTTTAAATAGTGCCAGGGGATTTTTAACGTCCACCTGAACAAGCAGTTGGTTTAAAGGCTCATCCAAAGGTCGGCACCCCCGATAATGCAGCATACCCTCAGCACTGCACTATAATGTCAGCCTGGACCATAGGGTCTCCAACTAGGCAATCACCACCAGGTGATGCTTTCGCTCATGATCAAAAAGACAAAAGAGGGAGCAATAGAAGCTTGGTTATTGAGTCCAATTGAAAATGAAGCCAGATGCACAAAGTATTTCATGCATCTCTAAATATAAACTTTAATGTTTAAACTGTGGTAAATATTACTCCTTCCTCTTGTTTTAATTGAGCATGCGAGAGATTCCACCTAGCAATATTTAACTGGTTGGAGACCCCTGGCCTAGACTGTGAGTTTGAAGTTTCAACCTTCTAACTCAGAAACGATAGTGAACTGGAACTAGGCTAACAAGTACAACAGGGAACCATACATATTGCAAATGAAAAACCTCTGATAATAGTAAAGCACCTTAATTACATACAATTACCATCTATTAGGTATAAAACTTAAAAAAGAAAGCAATACAATTGAATCCAATTCATGACTTTTGACCTTTTTTGCCCAAGAAGAATCTTTTGTTGTTCCCGCTGTACTCACTGATGTCAGTGCAATTAGACTTGTATGTTACAAAGGTATTCAAATACAATATATTGGTTGCTTATTGTTGATTTAAGATCAGGCAATTGTTTCAGATTGTTTTTCATGTGGTTAACTATTTGAATGCAAGTGTGGAACCATTGATCTTCATTTCCTTATGCTGCGCTTTGCCCACAGAATATACAGTCAATTCACTAAACAATATATTCATGCCTTTCTATGTTTCCATGATAATTTCCTTTATGGCCCCAGTTTGATCTGATGTATAAATTGAATTTCTTGCTCCATGTTAAAATTATGCTTTACTCCAAGTTGTATCCAACATAAGCCCCTAGTTACTTCCCCCATTTTACAAGAATAATGAAAGTTCAAAGGTTCTAAATTCGAGTCATTTTACATTGTATATAAAAAAAGCAACATGTGATTTGTAATACTTCAATCCATTTCTTTTTGTTAAAATAACATTTTTAAAGCACATTCAAATTCAAGGAAGTAAAGATTTATTAAAAGCTGATATTGCACTTTGCTTTTAAGAAGTTAAAGCAATTAGGAAATTTGCCTTACTATCTAGAATTGCATGCAGTGTCAGACTTCATGCAGAGTCAAAGCACTTTTTATTGTCAGATCTGCAGATTATTAAAGTCTCATGATCAGGTAAAGTGAGCCCCAGGTGATAAGAACAAGGAAAAACTTACTTTTGTCAGGGAGTGGGAAAAGGAGAACCACTTGCACCTTATACAAGGAAAACCCAGAGAAAATTTGAGGATATCAGAAAGGAAAAGAGGAATTAAGTTAAAGCAAACCGCACTCACTAAATTCCAAGGAGCTATTAATATTTAACTTTCACATCAGCCATACTGAATATAAGTGCATGTAGACAAGAGTAGGAAGCACTATATTTACAGTGACCTTCATTTTCCAAATTAGTAAGAAATAACATTTATGGTAATGATGTCAAAATGCCTCAAAGTACTTACACTAATTATTGTCAAGTGCAGTAATTGTTTTATGGTTACAGATTTTTTTAAAAAACTTGAAATCCAGCAGTAACTACAACCTTGTCTTATATAGATTCACTGGGCCTCAACCCATGAGAAGAAAAGGCTTTAATCTTTTGGTGAGATGCCCAAAACATCCCCAAACATTGTTTTTAACATAAAGCCCTACAAATGTTTGCAGGAACACAAATGTGAGCGATTTGCTTTAATTAACAACACAAACATGTAAACAAAATAATTAATGCATGAAAACATCTACTATCTGAAATACTGTGATTAGAACTACAGAATACTTTTTTTCTTTAGAGAAGATTAGTGCTGCTTCTTATTTTCTACAAGACCGAACATATTATTGCAGGTAAAAACAAAAATTAAGGATCGACCAATATTTAGTGCCAGAACACACAAAAAGTTTGATTCTCGCAAGCTATAACACAGTGCACTATTGTATATGAACTACTATGGGATCCTGTATATCACAGAATTCAGTATTTGTTGAAAACATTATGTTTTCAATGAATCCATATGGATCTGTGGTACATGACAGTGATGGGTAGGATTATGTGTCTGGGCTATGGACAGGAGGATGGTGGCAATTCTCTCAAGCATTTCATACTGAGTTGGGCTATGCATCATGTGGTTGGCTTAGAAAAATTCTAGTGCCTGTTGTCCACCTAGCAAGATTTCAAACCTGTGTTTGTGAAATGTCTAATTACCAATTTTTGGGGATTGGCTGAGTCTCAAACAAATTATAATGTCCAACTAATGGTTTCACAACCAGTGAAGCCTCACCATTAAATCCCAACCTTACTCAAAATGAGGTTGTGATACCTTGGTTCATTGCACATGTGCACAGCCATCGAGCAAACTTCTTGAGTGCCTGCCAATCCCAATATTATTTAAGCTTTAAACGAATCAATGCTATCTCTGTAGTGACTATCTTCTGGGGGTGGGGGGATGTGCTGAGGTAAACAGTAGTTCATTGGGATTGAACTGGCTCCAGGATGACGAGTCTGCCAATAAAATAGTGGAATTGCCTTCTGTTACTGACTGAGTTGTCCAGATCCTGAGTCAAGTAGGTCCACAGTACTGTTGATGATGGAGCAGGGAACCAATCAGCAGGACTTGGTAGGTACAGAGCAGTCCCTGGGGAATGGGAATTTTTCTCACTTGGCTCCCAGTTGATCAAATATGACTGTAAAAGTATACTGTATAATTAAATTACTCTCAGCAAAAAAAGTGTAATTTCATTCTGTTTTGGGATGATTCTCTTGCAAGATATTCATTTTTGCGATTTTGACAGCATTTTGCACCTTGCCCTAACATTAATATTATATTTGGGATCAAAACAATCAAATTTGGGAAGGAGAAGCCCAATTCATACTTCCCGTTTTACAATCCATTAGAATCACATTAATTTACAGCACAGAAGAAGGCCATTCGGCCCATTCTGTCCGTGATCGTTCTTTTAAGAGAATCCTTTCAGTCCCATTTAACTGCCATTCCCTATTTACTCCTTTTTAGATATTTATCTAGTTCCCTTTTGAAAGCTAATATTGAGTTGATAAACAAGTGAAACACAAAATTGAATATTAATATTTTTTAATACCTGCCATGTGCTCAATTTCCTTAAACACTTGTAATGCTGCCCTGAACATTCCTGGGCCTAGACTATGAATGCCTGAGAATTTTCAAATAACTCAAAAGACTACAAGCCAGGAGACAAGGCAATATTGGTCGATCCCTACTGACAATAATTTATGTTAGAGGCTATTAGAATTTATATTAGAAATTTTGTTAAATATGCAATTTGCTTGAGGCTCTGGAAATGATTTTAGAAATCATTTTACTGTAGCTTTTTTTAGTTCATTGTGAGCATTTTAATTCTGATAGGGAAAGCAAAAACAGCGAAATACACAAATATTGTTAATATAATAGAAAAAGAATCTTACAAAGATACTTCGCTAGAATGAGTAACTTAAAGAAAAAGTGACAATGATCAAATGTGATCAAGATTACCGATACGGTTCAGTTTTATGTTTTCTCCTTTCCTTCTCCCGCTTGGCCAAAGGGACACGCTTCCACAACATGCTCCAATCCCATGCTCCTCTAGCAAACCCATCTTCGTCACCACCCCCTTGAGGTGATATCTGGTAATTATTTCCACTTATGCCATCTATGAGTGGCACAGTACATGCAGTTCTGCAGATTTGGCAATATCGTTGTTGGACCAGGGAAGGTAGGTGAAGGGATCCATGCGTCAAATACATAATTGGAATTAGGGTGAGGGATGCAGCAGAAGGATCCATGCGAGAAAGGGAAAATGACAGGACTTAGACATGTCAAACAATTCAATTCATCAGTAATTACCGATAAGGCTCAGTTTTATGCTTCCTTCTGGCCTTTTCACGACTGTTTAACGGCATGCGTTTCCATAGTAAGCTCCAATCCCAGGCCCCTCTGGCAAAACCATTCTCATCCCCACCTTGTTGTGGTTCAATGGTAAAGTCATTGCCATCTATGTAATCTATAAGGGGAACTGTACATGTAGTTCTGAAACAAATAACAGATACTGAAATAGATCACAATTAAGTGTATTCCCCATCAGATAGCACCTGCACATAAATTCTGGTGTGTTCAGTCAACAATTAATAAATAAACTGACTTAAAATAGGACACTAGAAAATAAGACATTTTATATCTTATTAAGTGCTGAACCCTGGATGCACAGAAGCTACACAGAAAGATGCAGCAATTTGAATTACTGTTATCTAAAGCTACTGTGTAGAATCATTTAGTTAGTTTAATGTGCAATGTTTAAGTTCTGTGATGATAATGCTGTGGTTATGGGTTCAAATGAACTGTAGCAGCTGCACTGCCACATTAGCTTTGACTAGGATAATACTAGCTTTGACTTTGAATAGAATACAACTCTGAAATAATATTCTAGCCACTGTTCAACTAGATTTCAGATAAAATTGCCTTGGGTTACCTGTCCTTAGCGATGGGAGCTACGAGTGATGCGTACCAGTTAGGTCCAACTTCACAATGTGCATCAAGATATATTAACACCTGAAAACACATTAGATAACTATTATTTAAATAAATCCATAACTCAGAATTTGTCAGGAACAACAATAATATTTAGGTACAGCGCCTTTCATGTCAGGAGGATATCTCAAATGCTTCACAGGATTTACTGTAAGATGTAGTCATTGGGTATTTTATAGACGAACATGACAGCCAATTTATCCACAGAAATGTTCCACAAAGAGCCATGAAATTCTCTTCTCTTTTCATACAGTGTTGTGATATCTTTAATTTCCACCTGAACAGGAAGACCGGATCTCGATTTTAACATCTGAAGGACAGCATCTCAGAAAATGCAATGCAATACATTGAAGTGTCAGCCTGGACTATGTGAGTTCAAAGCCCTGACATGGGGCCACAGCCCACAGCCTTCTGACTGAAAGATGAGCTCCAGGACACCTGGGTTAGGAAGGGAAACATGCATGTCTATATGCAAATGTCCATGTAATAATAATAATCCTTGCATTCGAATTAGCGCCTATCACAACTTTGAGACATCTCAATGCGCTTCACAGAATATACTGTAAATTGAATTGCGCACAGCAATAAACAGCCATGGGTTGAGTGACCAAAATATTATGATTATTTATTTATTTTGAAGGCATTATTACTCCCTGTCGAGTCTTGTAGTTTAGTGGTTAGAGCACTCGTTGCAAGCGAGAGGACCTGGGTTCGATTCCCGGGCAGGGCGAAACGTTGTGCAAGTTTCCTTACTTCACACACCTCTGTTCACCTAGCAGTAAGTAGGAACCTGGTTGTTAGTCAATTGGCGAATCGCTTTCCGGGGGTAATAATCCCTCAAAAATAAAATTGGTCACTCAATACACGACTGTTTGGAGGACACTGCTGTGCGCAATTGGCTGCCGCATTTCGCTCATAAAATACAGTCAATTCACATTACAATATATTCTGTGAAGCGCTTTGAGACATCTCAACGATGTGATAAGGCGCTATATCAAATCCAAGGATTATTATTATTTATTATTATTAGTTGTGATTCCAAATAGCTATTGTCATGTTCAAGTCAACACTCATTTTCTAGGCTCACAAGAACAGCACTGTGGTATGCTGTCTCAGCGCACAGCAGTGTTCCACAAACAGTCATGGACTGAGCGACAATTTTTTTTTTTGAGCGATTATTACCCCCGGAAAGCAATCTTCCAAATCTGAGTTCCTACTTACTGCTAGGTAAACAGAGGCATGTAGAGTAAGGAAACTTGCTTAAGGTTTTGGCCTGCAGGGAATCAAACCGGATCTTCTCACCTGTGGTGCGAGCGTGCTAACCATTACACTCCAAGACTCCTCACTACAGGACTCTACAAATATATGTGTGGTTTGAAAGAGGAAGGAATTTACTGTACTTGTCCAAGCTTTACTTTATTTACTTTTACTGTACCTGTCCAAGCTTAGCCTTTTGAGCACCAATGCTTCTTGCTTGAATTAACCCTTCTCTCCTTTCATTTCGAAATACTTTGACTAATCCATTCCATTGTTTCAGGTATTCCTCCAGTCGTTCTTTTAAATGAACTGCAGACAAGATCACAAATCAGTCATAAGAATGATAATTATTTATGAAAAAAATGCAAAAATGCAATTCAGTTCTTTCCTACCCATTTTAACACTTAAAAAGGCTGCAAAACTAGTTGTGAATTATTCACTGAAATTACAATGTTTCTTAACAGATTCAATTTGATGATGCACCACATTTTTATCAACAGGAGCTGGTACAGTCAGACCTGCATTCCTAGGGCAAGTCAGAACACATGAAATGAATGGCTTCATTGTAACTTGTAACATTAACACCAATTTGACACATTGAAGGTAGACCTTGAAGTAAATTGTAGGATGTAGATTATTTTATCAAATATTTAAACCAATACCAAACTGTATGTTCTTAAAGGTGTCAGTTCAGCTCAGTTTGTGACACTCTAGGTCAATAGGATGTGCATTGAAGACCCACATCATAGTCCAGGCAGACACTCCAGCGCAGTACTGATGAAGATACTTTCTTTTGGGTGAGACTTTAAGCACAGTCCGATAGTGAGCCCCTGTTCACATGCATGATAAAGAACCAATGTCACTATTTGAAAAGAGACGGGAGTTTTTCCAGAATCATAGCCTAAGGTCATCCAGATTAATAATAATAATAATCCTTGCATTTGATATAGTGCTTTTCACATCTTCTAGACGTCTCAAAGCGCTTCACAGAATATGCTGTAAACTGAATTGACTGTATATTTGTGGGCGAAACGCATCAGTCAATTGCGCACAGCAATGTCCCACAAACAGTCGTGGATTGAAAATGAACAATTTATTATTGTTTTGTTTTGGAGGGATTATTATTAGGCGTGTGCAGTAAGGAAACTTGCCCATGGTTTTGCCCTGCCTGGAATTGAACCCAGATGTCTCGCTTGCAAGGCGAGCGCTCTAACCACTGAGCTACAGGACTCCAGATTAATCGATCATTTGCTTTATTGCTGTTTTGTAGGAACTTGTCAGCACAAATTGCTGCCACGTTTGCTTACAAAACAGTCACTACACTTCATAATAATTACTTTGCAACATTTTGGCATCAATACGCAGTTTTTTATTTCTCTATCTATAACAGGAGCAAATATTGTTTGGTCAGTTACGTGTCTGTCACCTGCAGAAACCCATCTCCATGATTAAGAGTATCCATATCAGGCAGAGTTCCACAAATACGTGTCACCTACATATGGAAATTTCCCTGTGTCTAGAATGGATTGTGTGCTCTCTCCCCAGAGAAAAACACTATAATCTAGAAAGTATTAGCATGGGTTGGAGAGAGCCACAATTTAGAGATCCCAGACTGTGCATTGGAGCACTGTGGTGTTTAAAATATACAAAACAATATTCAAATGATTTGGGATTTCATAAGCATCACAATACAAAATATTTACATGAAACTCATCTTTCTTTCAAAAAACTGAGAGAAAATTCACTACTAACTTTACTGCCATTAGGATCTGTGGCTCTGAGATAAATAAGGCCTATGAATGCCAAAAACCTGACAGCCAGCTCAACTATTACCAGCTCCTATTATTGTTACGACCACAATTGTGGTGTTTGTGCAAGAAAGCCTTGCTAATTTAATACAGTCGTCAGCTCACCTCTGATGTCACTTTCTATACATTGCACACTGTAACAACTGATAAAGCACCTATAACATTTAGAATATCTTAAAGCACTTTACAAAGTTTCTGTGTAGTGAATGTATTTGCAGTCACGCACTGCAGCCAATTTGATTACAATGACAGAGCAATTGAAGAGCTAGGTCTTAAAGGTGGTCTTTAAAGGAAGCAAGGTTAGGAGGTGAGTTAGAGGGACTCCAAGACTGAATTCAGCCTGATTAAAGGTCATCAACCTGAAATGTTAATTCACTTTCCTCTCTCCATAGGTGCTGCCTGACTTGCTGAGTGTTCCCAGCAACTTCTGTTTTTATTTTGGAACCTTTAATGATTTGGACAGCACTAAAAGAAACAATGAGGGAGAGGAAAGCAAAATATGTCTGAAGGTTAAGGTAATATCTAGACTAAGCTACAGTTTCAGTGAACACCTGTCACTTCTCCATTGGGGTAGTCAGATTGGCTAAAAGCATAAGAACCTTCGGAAACCTACAAAAATTGGAGCGAGGTTCAGATTTACCTTTGGTTTTAATTGCGTTCCAGTTCAAAGCCATAAAGCTTAAAAACCTGTGATTCAAACTGGAATGATTCAGTCACGAGTTTAATTCTGGATTTCTTGCCCGTAGCCACTAGAAATTCCAGGGACATTAAAATGTAATGCCAGCCCGCAATGACAAACATGGTAAATGATGCCCTCTTGTGGGTATCCTAAAAGATGAATTATTCTATTTGTACAGGCCACAACATCAAAAAATCATATGAAGGAATAAAATAATGACTTAGGTATAGAGTAATTACATTGATACGCTTTTACTTTGTACTGAATAAGAATAGTGTTTGAATGCAAATAACAATATATTACCTTTGTTACTGAAGTCATCAATCATAACAATTTCTGCTAGGTATTTTCTGGGCGTCCGCTTGATAACACTGTGGACAGTCCTCATAAGAGTCGACCACCCTTCATTATGGAAGACGATAATGATACTAGATGTTAGCAAGTTCTCGTCATAATGCCAATACTTGCACCTGGAAAGAATAAAATAATACTCAGTAACCTAATGGTATTTTACCTCATTTTTAGCAATGAAAAATTAAAAGTAGGGCAATATGCAGAATCTAACGCAACACCATTCTTTAGACCAATCGTTTCTTCACAAATTAAGTTGGAAAATAGTTAAAGATGAGTATCCTCAAAATGGAAGTCTTGAAAATTCTTTATTACAAACCAAAAACAAGGAGAAAACTGCAAAATGTTATGGTACAACATGAAACATATGCATTCATTTTAATTAAACATCGAAATCCAATCCAACTCAGACCCATAAACAAAGACAACAGATATTTCTTCCCACTTCTTTCAACATGCAGCAACTACATGAATCACTGATTCACATGCAATAACTGAATGAATCACTGACTCTGTATAAAAGCACTGTTGTTTGTTTGAATTTTGTTATTCAGCTGTACCACACAGCAATGCCTTGCTGTTTTTCAACTGTATTTTAATTTAAGAACTCGGTTGATGTTAAATAAGACAACCATTACCCTTAGACAAGAGGCTCCTTCACCTCACTACCTGTCTAGTACAGTGTTGGCAAAAGCACGGATTTGGCATTTCACTTCAGACACAAACTTAAAAAATGAGCACAAAAAAAGAGACCTAGTCATAGTTGTTGGAAATCGTATCCAACGTATATGAAAGAAAAACACATACATTTCTGCCAGAGTGAAACTGATTTTTTTTTAACCCATTACATGAGTTAGTTGAAGAAATGTTCTCCCAGAATTCACCCACAGTATAGATGTAGCTTCATTCTTGATTTTTAAGCTGTAAATTAGCATACCACCATAAAAGTTTCTATGTGGTTTAAAGTATGACTAAAGAAGTATGCACTGTAACTACAACTTATACACAGCCATTTCCAATGTTTCCTTTTATCTGCCTTGCTTGTTTACAGTGGCAATAATCTATGGTAATATACACTTCCTACTTAATGGGCTTTCAGGGCAACAGTAACTCATTTACACACAGGAATGATAACAACAACTTGCATTTATGTAGACCTCTTCCCATGGGGCAGCAGCTCAGAGCGCTTAACAATGACAGAGCCTGACGCTGAGCTGGGAGAGGGAGTAAGTGACCTTAAGCGCTGTTGAAGAGGAAGGTCTTCAGTCATGATCTAAAAGAGGGGAAGGAGGGGGCAAGGCAGAGAGATTGGGGGAGAGAGTTCTAAAGCTTCGGGTGCAGTGGATAAGAACAGACGTGACCTAATAAGCATTATCAAATTAAATGATATGTTGGGATTTAACTTGGGCTCAAGCCCCAAATCAGAAATTTGAGCTCACAGAACAGTCAATTTAAATAATCAAGAATCCATCAATCTATCTCTGCCTCCACCCTCGATTCCAGGACCACTGTTGACTTGACAGAATGTCTGTCAGACATCAAGTCCTGAATGAGAGTCAACTTTCCACAATTGAACGTCAGCAAGACCGAGGCCTTCCTGATTGGCTCAGGCCAGGACCTCCGCACCTCAGGCACTGGCAGCATCAGCACCCAGGGATGCACACTGCAGCTCACCGAGCCTGTCAGGAACCTGGGCGTCTTGTTTGACCCTCAACAGTGCTTTCTCCCCCACATCCATGCCATGATCCGCTCTGCCTTCCCCCACCTCCGCAACACTGCCCGACTCCACCACTGCCTCACCCCTCAGGTCGCCAAAACCCTCATACACACCTTCATTACATCCAGGCTCGACTATGCCAATGTGCTGCTTGTCGGCCTCCCCAACTCTTCCCTCCACAAGCTGCAGATCATCCAGAACTTTGTAGCTCGTGTCCTCTCCCACACCAGACTCTGTGATCCCCATCACACTCACGCTCACCCGGCTCCACTGGCTTCCCATCCCTCAGAGGATCGAGTTCAAAATCCTCATCCTCACCTTCAAGGTCCTTCATGGCCTTGCCCCTCCTACCTCTCCGACCTGCTAACCCCTTATCAAGCTGTCCACTCCCTCCACTCAGCGGGCTCTGGCCTGTTCCGTGTCCCCTGCCTGGCCTGCCCTACCATCGGTGGTCAGGCCATCAGCCTCTCTCTGCCCCCACCCTCTGGAACTCCATCCCACATTCCCTTCGCCTTGCTCCCTCTCTTGTCTCCTTCAAGGCACGCCCCAAGACCCTTCTCTTCGACCATGACCCTCCTGACTGTTCAACGCCTAGGGACATCCTCCCGACGTGAAAGGCGCTTTACAAATGTAATTATGTATTGTATTGTATCATGTAGTGCTTGCAACACCGAGATAATTTGTTTTTGCTTGTATATTTTCTCTAATCCCTGACAACTCAAGGTGACAACTCATATTGGGCTACAGATCCACAGGCAATTGGATCTGCAAATATCCTTGCCGGTGATCATTCTAAGTGTGCAAGCTTTGAAAGTAATTGCCAGCAGGCCATTTGCTTCTGGGAAACTAAGACAACAGGCAGTTTGCAACTCACACCCACAACACGCACATTATTCTGCAACGTAACAATGGACAGCAATCACGAGGAGAAACTCAGTCCCCCATATAGCCTGAGGATGCTGAACACAAGTTGCAGGTTGCTGCTCCAAATGCCACTCCAGCTGAGTTCAGCAATCTCAACACACGGCAAAGAACGAATCCATGTTGGTATAACTCCAACATGTCTCAATAATTTTATCTACTCATCCATTGGAAGAAAAGGATTCTTACTCAGTTATTGTTAATTCAGAGAATCCAGAGCCTTTAGTGAAGCAATTAAAAAAAGTTTGTCCAATCAATTTTCTACCCATTGCCCCTGGTCCCAGCCTCCTCATGCTATTGGTGCTGTTCTACAGGTGCTGTTTGCCCTCTCGTGTTATTGTTGTTGTTGTAGTACCTGTCCCAAGTGGCCATTGTTCATATTGAGCCTTGGTACTGGATGTTAGCAGACCACTTGACTGCAGAGGGCATCACAGCCAAGCCTAACCTCTTCCTCTATACGTTCGCACAATCAGTAGAGGGTGCTGAAGAGAACCAGGTCCACTTAACCCAGGGTATTTTAACTCCCTATCTTGGGGAAGGTCAGGAGCAATTTAGCAGCCTCCAGCTGAGATAAGTAAATTCAATACCTGACTCAATACACATTTCTATGTATAAGTGTGAGTTTAGTCAGGAAGTAAATGTCATATGACTGTTGAATTCCTTTCCCATCCAATAATTCAGTTCTGCACCATTTGGTACATAATGCAGAGGCTTCAAACAATCTTGGCAACATATGTTTTTAATTCATCCTCAATGGGTATCGCTATGTATGCAATCATATTTAAGACCAATTTAACATATGTATAGACATGATTATGTTCACAAATATATTCATAAATAATTGCCACAGAAAGTTATACTGTGGTGTTCTTGTCCTTTCGTGTGAAGTTCTCTTGAAATTTTTCTGCTTGATTGTTTTCTTATTACCGTGGGTTAATTTTATGAACAGTTCTTTCTTCCTTTGCCTTTGGCTTTGTGTCCAGAGGGATAGAATATAAAATTCGGGAGGTGATGTTAAGTTTATACAAAACCTTGGTTAGACACACATTTGGAGTGCTGTGTCCAATTCTAGTCTCCACACTACAGGAAAGATGTAGCAGAGAAGGAAAGAAAACCACATAGGTTTACGAGGATGATACCAAGGCTGGCAGGTTACTCCGATTAGGATAGACTGGAGAGGTTGGGCTTTATTCCACTAGAGAAGAGATGTATAAATGGGTGACCTAATAGAAGTGCTTAAAATTATAAAAGGGTTTGATAATTTTGTATTCTGTGAAGCGCTTTGAGATGTCTCAAAGATGTGATAAGGCGCTATAACAAATGCAAGGATTATTATACGGTTAACATAGAAGCATAGAATCATACAGCACAAAAAGAGGCCAATCGGCCCATCGAGTTTGTGCTGGGTCTTTGAAAAGTGCAATGTAATGTCAATCCCACTCCTCAGCCCTTTCCCCATAACCCTGCAAACCCGTCTTCCTCAAATACCCATCCACCAAGTTTTTAAAAGCAGTTATCAAATCGGCCTCAGCCACCCTTTCAGGCAATGCATTCCACATTCGAACCACTTCGCGCAGAAGGTATTATATTTTACTAGCTGTACCCGTTGCAGCTTTGCTTGCAACCAAAGGGTCCAATATGGAATGTAGATTGATACACAGAACCGGACTCAGTGGGAAGACTTGACACTTTAAAAATGTAATTTTATTGATGTTGCTGTGCCTTAGCTTTGTCTGTGTTCTTTATTTTGTTCCCGCCGCTTGGCTACGTGTGAGCTCTATGACGCAGGATACCACAGCGCCACGGTCAGCCGACACGGCCACCAGGTGTAACTGCAGCGAAAAACGCAAAACTAAAAATAACTCATGTACGCTAGGAGATACCCAAAAACAAATATGTACATGTCATTCCCAGGTGCAAGACCTTTCTGATGAGGTATAAATCATGTCTCTACATCAATTGGTTATTGAGATCCTTCTTGAAGTGCAGACAGACATTGTTGTTTTATTAGTATAGATAGAAGATAGATAGAAGGTAAATACCTTGCATTTGATATAGCACTTTTCACGTCTTTGAGACGTCTCAAAGCGCTTCACAGAATATACTGTAAAGTGAATTGACTGTGTATTTTGTGGGTGAAACACAACAGCCAATTGCGCACATCAGTGTCCCAGAAACAGTTGTGAATTGAGTGACCAAACTATTCCTTTTTTTTCTTTAGTAAGATTGTGGAACTCACTAACCCATTAGCAGTGGCTGAAGGGAGAGGGGAATAGAGGAAGTAAAGGAATTGGTGGAGAATCATGGAATATAAACACTGATATCGACTAGTTGGGCCGAGTGGCCTGTTTCAGTGCTGTACATTCTTTGTAAATCTTTTGTTTCACTCATTCCCTATGAGGGACATGTTCAACCACAGATTTCTTGCTGATTTGCCATTCGTCTGAACCACGCTGAGCTGCAATATGCAGTTTTGTGGTG